TCTTCACATATAGATGAATGATCATCCTAAGCACATGTCTTTCACATGTAGATATATTTTACATAAATATAAAATACTGTAAACGACAGAATTTTCACGTGGACCTAATTTTCGCGAATTTCGTGAACCGCCGCCGATCCGCGAACAATAGGTTCCGCGAACAATTCGGGAAAATTTTCATCACCTTGAAAGCGGCATTGAGACACCGGGGAAACACGCGTCCAAAAAGCATAACGATATCATTATACGCGATATGTGAATATGATATGCAAAGTATCCTAAATTAAATAACGCCATAAGTCGGAAGTCAGCTCACCTCAAGAAGTTTATTTGGTACCTTCAGACAATTCCTGCCAGAGTATAGCCGAATCGGATCGTGTTTCTGCGGTTCTCGAGATCCGCATACTCTTCAATCAGCCATGCTGCGTGAACGGGCTTCATAACACTTGCACTCAAGTCGATCTTAACGTCAGCTGCACTTTGTCCTTTCTCTACCACCTCTTGTACACATCCGGCATACCACTGGGTAAAGCGGTTCATCATGGCAGTCTTGAACACATAGTTAATGTTTAGATCGTTCGGTTGCAGGAGTCGCGTGCAGCTTGCCGGGACGAAGACGTACTCAATGTTGTTTGCAGCTAGTTTCTGCAGAAGACTCTTCGTACGATGTGCAGCGAAGATGTCAAAAATGCGAGGTGCATGTTGACTGGCACCACCCACACGACTCCTGCATATCTCCACGTACGGAAGGGGAACAGTGTCGACAAATCGCAGCATTGTGGTTTCGTTGCTTCAGTGGTTGTCACTGTGCCACACGTCCCAGTCATTTGGAAACATGACCTTGGCATGGCCCCTGTCTGTTTTGCCTGCATATAACACTTGAGGCGGCAAGAGTTTGCAAGAAAGCGTCGTGGTCATCAAAACGGTGACTTCCCTTTTGTCGTCCAAGCCAACCACCCCAACTTGCTTGGAACCTCAGGCCTCCATCGTCCACTTCCTGGCCGGAACCAGCTTGACACCTGTTTGGTCCCAGTTGAGCACCAAGTCGTCGGGAATACTGAAATGGTTTCTCTTCTCGTCGATAGTCTGCAGGAACTTCTTCTTGGCATCCTCGAAATCGTTTGGAAAATTTTGCGCAGTCTTCGTGGCCTTACGCTTGACGAATCCAATCCTGTTCAGGAAAGATCTTGCCCAGGGTCTGTCGAGAACGAGAGTCCCGCCAAACTCTGGCAAGAGTGTGGGCTTGGTCGCCCGCACAATGCCCAGTGCAGCAGCGATGCAAATCCTGGAGTTTACAACCCCGCCCACTTCACTGAGCTCCACAATGTACGCCCGTACGTCAACATCCAAGTTTCCAAGCAGAGGCTTGACACCTCGAAGTTTACCAGGCAAGGTAGCCAGCTCTTTTGAATGACAGAACTTGCAGGCTTGGATATAGGATGTCTTCATCCCCCTGACGGTGCTCTCGTTGAGAAGCTTTTCCCTTCCACCGGAAAACTTCCTCACTGCAGCAATTGTCCCATTTTCCGCAGCATATTTTCCAATCTTACATCTAAGTTCGTCATTGTAAGCAGAGTAGGGCCCTCGTTTCCGCTTTCGGGAGTCCACGGCGGTAGAAGCGGCAATAACACTTTGATTGGTCGACGTAAAAGAACGCTTATCACGTGTGGTCTTGCATACCTGTGGGTCAGGCAGTCCCGCCATATGATGATCCTCTGCATTCTCGACCGCTGGCTTGAAGTAACGTAGTAAGGACATCGCGGGACAGCAGATTGACGGGCACAAGAAAACGTACCGCACTGACACAGAGTGTGCTGGCGTCGACGACCACGGTACGCAGCCAAGTTTGATTGGCCCCTAAACCTACTTTGACTTTGAGTCGGTTTATGTACAATCGTTGGACCCCATCGCCCTTTGTCGCTGCCTTCCATGCGCCACCCACACGACTCCTGCACCCACACGACTCAGTGTGTGACCTCGAAAAGTGAACCCAAGAAAGGTTAAGGGGTGTGTGACCCAGTTAGTATGGAGTGGACCCTTAACTTATTTACACACACTGGTTTGACCCTATTGCCCTTGGCGGTTGTCCTTTCATGCAGAGTGTGTGACCTCGAAAAGTGAACTCGAGAAAGGTTCACATCCAAGAAAACCGACGTGAACACTAACCCAGCCTTTGTCGGCGTCTCGAAGGTGCGGGTAACGGCAGCGACTTCCGGACCATTAGTCACACAACCTACCGCCGTTTTACCTTTCCTAGATTTTGACTGATTGACTGAAGCCGCATAATCCTAGAAAGATGGAAAGGCAACCGGGCCGGAAAGGGGGGGGGGGGGGGGGGGGGGTCTGGTGTCCGTCTGGATTCGCGAAAATTAGAACCCGCAAATAATTTTAATTTTTCAACTTTGGCCCGATTCGCGAAAATTTGAGCCCGCGGAAATTCCGTCGTTTCCAGTATATGATCTGCTCCATCACTTTATGAACTGATGTGAAAACACCCTACTGGTGGCATGCGCGAATGGGGCGCTTCTCTAGCTATCATCATCACCGTTTGTGACGTTGCTTTTTTCACGCCTGCTCCACGCGTTTTTTAATGCGAAAGCATTAACTGCCCCATGGAGCGAGCCGACGTCATGAGCTTTGAAGCCGCACCAAACGGCACCTTAAATCTTTTCTCCAAGTGAAGCAAGCTTCCAACTATAAAATCACGCGAAAAGCCTAGCTAAACGGCACCTAGATTCCCCGATCCCAAAGAAGCGGAGTAAAGCTGATGGATTTCAGCTTCGGTCCCCTTGGCTGGCGCGCGTCGACGAGGCTCCCATTGGTCGCTGCGCGTCGGTTTCAACGACCACCACCCCATGGCGCTGCGTGTCCGCGAGGCGGCGACTCCACCGCTCCGTGCCCAAGATCAGCAGTCAACATTTTAAACGGAAGCAATTTAGTGTGTGTTTTTTGTGGTTAAGTTGCTGGATGTGAACGACAAACCCTAATATTTTCCGCAATGTTTCTTTTATTTCATTTTCGTACCTCAAAATTACAATATTGTAAACTGCTAGAGCGGTTGATTATATGCGAAATAGCTTCTAAACAATCGCATCCTCGTCAATGCCAGCAAGGAAAACTTGAATTCCATTAAATCTACGGATCTAAACAAGGATCGACAATAATCATACGATGAAACATATATAGATTTAACAAGTTCAGAAATATACATATTCCCGTCATCATCGTTACCTCCACCACCACCATCATCACCACCACCATTATCATAGGTAGAGGCCTCATAACAGCCTCAGCCCAGGGCCCCCAAATGCCTTAATCCGACACTGGGCGCCACGCCGCAGATGAAAGAAGGGAGCGGAAGAGCGGCGTGCATGCTTTCGCATTCACAACTCATAAGAAGTGCCTAGGTGTACCTCGAGCCTTTTTAATGGCATTACATTTTATAATGTCTTTTTAATTGCTTACCACGGCATATGCTTACCACGGCATATCCGTGGTAAGCAATTACATTGGGTGCTGAAATGTCCAAGCTCCGGGATGATGGTATACGGTTCTCTACAGCAGCACTAAAGCGTTCGACGATAAACGTAGGGTATCTAAAGTTTTACCTAAGTACAGAACCTACCAGTGGAAACAGAATGTAATTTCTATGTCATTCGAACCAGCAGATACTGTGGAAGGAATGGCTTACGAAGCCGTAAAAGGGAAGGCGAACTCGAAAACCTACCGCGTATGCGGTGCATACTTCAATTAAAGCGACTTCTCGTATCCCTGTGGTTCCACTTTGTTCTTTGAGTGCTGCGCCTTATTAGTACCCAGTGTTTCCTTTTTTTCTTTTTTTTTTCTTTTTGCAAATATGTTTACTTGAAAGGACTGACTCGAAAATGCGGTGGGTGGCTGCTAGTGTCGTTTCATCTAAATGCCTGCTTATTCACCCTTTCGACACAAAACGTGCGAAACCACCTGCTCAGTTCACACTTATATGGTCTTGTGAGTCGGTAACACTTCGACATCTCGAAATTAGTTATAAATTTATTTTATATGGAATACGATCATTTTGTGTTTGCTTTTGTGGACCCATCGAATATTTGTGCGTAATTTTACTTGCACTTCACAGCGATAATTTTGAAATTATAATGCACCCCTAATGAAAGCTGTAGAAAACCAATTAACGAACTGCCCTAATTTGAGTGACCAAACCCGGCAATGAAACAAAAGTTATGGGAATTAAAGTTTTTCCTCTGAACAGAAGTCGCAATATAGCAATCTCCTTTGCCACACAGTCAGTAAAAGAAAAAATACCTAAAAAAACGATTACGGTATTACATGAACACTCGCCAGCAACTGGGCAATCAGGACTGCAGCGTTGGTAGCGGCAAGCTTCATATAACCTCAAACGTGTGATGCACGAGGCAGCTTAACAAGATGCCCGTGTCGTGCACAGCTAGAATGACGCCACATCTTATACGCTAGTGACGGCAAAATCAAATTTGTGTACAGTAGTCTCTACCAATCCAAAGGAAAAAGAATCAGAGACGCCGTGACGTACGCCGTGCAAGCTCTCATGTCAAGCTTCAGGCTCGCTCTTGAATATTTTAAAGACTGTGTCTCTTGAAAGTGACTTAGACACTGCAATTCATTAGAAAAACGCGGAGTACAATTCATACATGCTTTTTTAAATTAAATTAACAGTTATCAATTGTCATCAAATCGAACCAACATAGCCACTCCGTGCAATTACTTGGTGCGTCGTCTGCTCAAATCACAAAAGAAATCCCTCTAGGTGGCACCAAGTGACATCTCGTCGCCAAAAGTATGAAGAGCATGAAAATTCTGCACACACGTCGTAAAACCAAACAAACATTTTCAGACTAACAATTAACTCTGTACACTTTGCCGAGGCAAGGTTATAATTATTTATAGTCTCCTTTTTAACGTTTCCCCCCAAAAATTGGTTCCAAATCTTGTTTTAATATTCCGAAGAGCAAGAGGTCTGCGCCCTAGATCTTCAAGGTGCCTGGATACAGGCCGCCTGATGTTGCGTTAGAGGGCCTTCTGTTGTTGTGCATTTTTATGCGTCCTTCCTCCGGTGTTTTTATTGGCGATAACTTCCGTAAGTAGTCGGTAAAAACTTCCACGTCCATTAGCCCTGCATATGAACCAAGTCAAGTATAGGTTATAAAGGCGCAACGAAGAAAATTGGTAATGGTAGCGTCTACTGATTGACTACACACAAAGGCAGTTAAAATATCCTCTCTTAAAAATAAAACTGGCGGCATCACGCCTTTGAAAGACAACGGGAACGCACCATATCCAATTTTACCCACGAGAGTTTTGGAGTCTTTTATTAATATTGTAACTAGGAGAGCCCCGACATTCTCGTGTTACACAACTTTCATGTCGGCGATCCAGTTTACATAAATATGTTGAATCTCTTCAGATGGTGTTTCTGTTTGGCTAAGAGGTTTCTATGGCCATGAAACACTTAGTTATACTAAACCACCCCAAAAAGTATTTTTTTATGCGCTGAGTGAAGACGCCAAAAAAAAAAAAAGAAGTGATTTATAAGCGCTTTATGTATTAATAGAATGTTTTCGTGGATTGTTTCGGCCGTCCTGCTACGCTATACGCTAAAGTTGCGCCACTACTGCGCATGCGCGCTTCTAGCGGATAGCTAGCAAAGCCGCGGAAGGTAGCGGAGGCGCGACATTTTAAGAAAGTTGCGTAGCACGCGCGCAGCGCGGCGTGACAGCGTGGGTGTCGCGAGAACGAGTCTTAACGAGATTAGGGAAAGCCGGCGACAGGGAAACAATTCAAGATGTCCGCAAAGCGGGCATGTGCCCGCTTCGCGATCGCGCTTCTTATGAGCAGATGATATCTTGCTGCTGTGGGAAGTAACCGCGACTAATCCGTTTCCTGGACTGTGACAGAGAGCAATTTAATAAATACATGGTAAATGCAGACACGAAACAGAAAACTAAAGAAAAACCTTCGCAATTTGTGTTGTGCTCGAAAGATGCGACCTCTTGCTCGGTCACTTTCGTCGTGACGACTACTAAGAATACCTTTAAACCTCTATTTCACGTAAGCTAGTGTTCAAAATACATAGTTATTATAATGTACGCTAAAGGTTCAACTGGCGCTAGTGTCATACGACTTCCGGGATGCGAATTGAAGCAGACAGCAACCAATCTACTTTTGTGGTGCTCCTGTGCATTCCTATGGGAAAACGCGCGTGTATTTTGTCTCTTCACCTGAAAATAACATAGTACACGTTTATCATTTGGGTCGTACCGAATAGTATGTACCTTTATTAATACTGTAAAAATGCAATTGCTTTAGTTAGCGCATTTTGTATCACTCAACGATGCTTAACTTCGATGTATTCGAGGCCCAAACCACTTTTTCAAAGTAGGTGTGTAAAAACAAGCGACGATTCTAAGCAAAATAACAATTGAAAAAAAAAAATATTGTGCGTGTTCAAGGGTCTTTACCATTCCGTTGACGCTTATATATTGCAAATAGGTCGGTCCTGTCACTATATAAAGATGACCGCGTCTTGCAACTTTACGAGCGGTTCAAAACGTTCAAAACGTACAGAGTAAAGTACGTGGGCTATGAAATATGTCTATATTTTTTTTCTATGCTGGGCAGCTTTTATGAGGAACATGTTCTCAAAGATCTCGAAGTTGCGGGTGATGGTTTGAACGTAGAACAAGCATCTTCTCAAAGCGTAAAGAATAAACCAGTACTTATTACAAATCGGATTATATTACGTGGCGTTCAATTAATTTTGATCGTACATGCACAGGGAGTTATTGATCCAGTGTTGCTGCGTAGCTCATGCCGTCTTTCTCGGTTTTCCAGATCTCCTCCGTTTGTTTGGCACGTATATCCCCACGCTGAAAAGCGCCGATGTCGTGTCCGAGCTAACAATGTCCGACAGTGCACATAACGACATGTACGAATCCGTTTTAGCAACGCTTTTAATGTAATAAATTGGAAAGAAAAACGCCGTAACTGACCAATTCATTCGTCTGCCTGACTGAGAAATGTTCCATGCTACCTTGTACGTACAAATTGTTCGGAATATTCGCTCTTATAATTGAGCGAAGGGAGAAAATGCTCTCGCTTATTTTCATACAAGTACATTAAAAAAAAAAGTCAATTTTCGACTGTTTGCTGTCTGCCTCAATCTGCCACAAAACACTAGCGCCATTTTACCTCTAGCGTACATTTTAATAACTTCCGAAATAGTCATTAGTGGCGTTGCGTTAGTCTCGTACCGCTATGAACCCTAGCGGTTTTCGACGTGTCTGGAACGCGTCTGCGACTGGTGTGTTTATCGCGTCCAAAAAAAGTGGTCCCTCGATTTCCGCCTGGTGACGTCATAGAAGTGTCATGCCGTCGTCGGTCGCGATCCTTGCGGTGTACCAGCAACGGTGCTGGGTCTGGCAGACGCCCCTTCTGCGGCAGGTCACTCTCTAGAGTGGCAGTTAGCCGAAGCTTCAGCATTTCTACGACCAACTGCCAGGATCGTGACATCCGACAGAAAGAGAGAGAGAGAGAATACTTTATTAATGGCAAAACAAATTAATTTTGATCCCCAGTCCGGGATGCCCTTTGGACGTTACGAGTTCTTATCGTGGATGGTTTTGATATGTTGTAGCAATCGTGGCCAATAGATGTCCTGACGTTCAAGAGGTAGAGTGACCCAGTGTTCCCAGGAGGAGGAGAGGGGAGCGTTGGAAGGGAAGGATATCTTGTTGAAATGCTTAGCTGTTCGCGGGCATGTCCAGTAGGTGTGCTCGGGAGTGGGATAGCCCTGTTTTTGGGTGATATGATGGAGAAAGACTTCTCAGCGGAGGGAGTTGGTCTGTGCCTTTCTAAGGAGGCTTGCGTCCTTTCGAGATGTGGCATGCGGGACGAGAGGTGGAGAGCGAGCGTTATGCCGCAGCGCGCGAAGACGGGAATTACGTCCTTGAAACTGCTGTCGTGTGAGAGCTTGAGTAGTAGGAGCCGATAGCAAGGGGCTGCCAGGACCCGGATCTTGATTAGGAAGTTTTCGTAGACCGCGCTGCCCCCTCCGCTAAGCGTTCCGCAACGAAGAAGTTGCTGCTGCGCCTGCGCGTTGATAGCCTTGACTGTGGAGTTCCCGCTATCGTAGCGTGTTGCGGAGGGCCTTGCGGGACGGCGAGAACGACCTACGAAAACTCCCTATTGTCTCGGGTTGCGGAATGAGCCGCTTCATTCCGAGCGATGCCTTGATGGCCTGGTATCCATTCTAAGAAAATATGGATGAGAGGATGGAGGTGTAGGTAGCGCTGCAGTTCTGCAGTTATGTGGGAGGAGGGGGGTAATGTGTGGAGCTCAATATCACACAGAGCTTTCTGGCGGTTTGTGCAAACTACGACATTGGTGATGGGGTTCTCGTGCAGCGTGATGGCTTCGAGAATTGCTTGTGCTTCAATTCAACTCAATTCAATTCATTTTATTTACTCCCATTTTTACATATGGGTGACGGAGACAGGGAAAAAAGCTGCAAAATGTGCAGCTTGACAAAGCCCCTGCCCCCTATCGGCAGATCGGCAGACAGGAAACGTTAACAGAAACATTTTAAAGAAACATTTTCTGCGCCTGCTGCCTTGTGGACATAGGTATGCTTGTGGGTGATCGTTTACGTTGTACAGTGGACGGCTGTGTATGCCGTCGTGCGTTCGTGGAAATCGGCATCGGTGTAGTATATGCCAGGCTCGTTTGTTCATAACGGATTGCTCTCATCTGGCGACGGGTAGAGTGGCGGACGGGGTCCATATATTTGGTTTTTGCCGCCACCGTGAGTCGGGGTATCATTTGCCAGGGTGGAAGCTGAGGGGGAGATGACACTGGGGGTACAGTGTGGCCTACTTTCTGAAGGAAGGCTCGTCCTTGTTCTTTGGTTCTGAGGTGGACATGCTGTGCTTCAAGGTGGACGAAGACTCTGTCTTGGATGTTTTTATGGAGGGCTGTGGCTTCTATGAGGTGATTGGGTGCCTGTTTGGGCACACCTAGTTCTGTTCGAGGACACCAGACGGAGTGCTGCTTCTAACGTCTTGCATCCTGTGGTTGACACACAGACGTACGGTAATGCGTACAGTACTCGGGTGTAGATTAGGGATTCCGTTATTTTTTGGAGGGCAGATTTAGTCATTCCCTCGTTCCGCGGGTAATGCGTTGGAGGATGTTCTTGATCTGACGTATAGTTTGAAGGGTATTGCGGAGCCATATTGTGTGCCGACTATCTTCTTGCCATAGGAAGCCGAAGACGCGGATACATGTCTTACGGGGTATGGGGTTGTTGTGGAGGCGAAGTTTGATAAGGTCTCGTTGTGTCCAACTTTGAGTTTAATTCGTTCGTCGATGATGTTGATATATTCAAACTTTTCGGGGGCACAAAATAGACCAATTCCGTTGGCATAAGTTTCGATTGTATCGAGAGCTTCTTGGAGTGCCGTTTCTTGTTCCCCAGGATTGCCTGTGTTACACCAGATAGTGATATCATCAGCGTATAATGCATGATGGATATAAAGAATGCGGTTGAGTTGGGAGGGGAGGTTCATCATGGCGATATTGTCACGGGTGGTGACCAAACAAAAAACAGGAAATAAACAGAAAGAAATAAACGTTTAATGTGGCGAACTTGTGCCAAAAAAATAAAGAAGGAAACAGAAGAAAGCAGAGCGTCGCGGGCGTCGAAGTCGGCGTGTCAGCAGAATCGAGCGCTAGGGCGAGACTGACTCGACAAGGTCGCGGGCGGCCTCTTATCTAGAGTGCGCCGCTATCTCGAAGATTCGGCGAAAGCGGTTCGAGCGTCGCGTGATCGGGGCGAGAATGAACACGCACTTTCTAGAAAACAAAAGCAGGGATAAATGATAGAAGTTACGTGCGGTACATGAATAAACGGGAACTTTCTGGAGGACCGTGACCGAGCGTTGCTTTCTCAGCCTTGCGCGCGGCAATATTGAATAACATCGGGGATACAATGGATCCCTGTGCCATGCCTTTAGTGATAAGAAAGTGATCTGATAGTTGTCCCTCACTGTCGAGTACACGATCGTCCGTTCTGTGAGAAAGGCTTGAACATAATTGTATAGTCGGCCGGAAACCCCG